CTGATCACCCCTGCACGCCCTCCTGTCTCCTCTTCCTGCCACGCACGCGAGGCTCGGGCGGAGTGCCCCTCACTGATCACCCCTCCATGCCCTCCTTCTCCTCCACGCCCTCCTTTAGTCGTCCGGAGGCCCGACGCCCGCCCCGGTGGTCCACACGCAGCCCCGAGCGGTGGGCTCCCCTGCTGCAGCCACCACCGACCTGGTGTCCATGGCGACGACTCAGGGAGTGCGGGCGGTCACCTCCGTCACTGCCCCGGCGGTGGTCACCACCAACCTGACGCCCGTGCAGGCCCCGGCCCGCTCTCTGGTGACCCAGGTGTCTCAAGGTAAAGACGCCTCTCCCTTAGCGCCCCACTCCCCTTCTGCTTGTTGTCTGGGGGAGGTGGAGGCCGAGGGGCCTAGTAGCCAGATGTGACGAGCCGCCTTCTCTGCAGCCACGGGGGTGCAGCTCCCGGGAAAGACCATCACCCCCGCACACTTCCAGCTTCTCCGGCAGCAGCAGCAGCAGCAGCAGCAGCAGCCCCAGCCGGCCCCTCCCCCCTCGCAGGTGCAGGTCCCGCAGATCCAGGCCCAGTCGCCCGCCCAGATCAAAGCCGTCGGGAAGTTGACACCGGTGAGCGTCTCTGGGAAGCACAAACACGCGTGTCTTGGCGGAGGTTAGCGCAGTCTGCGAGGGGTGGTGGTGCAGCCTGCTCTGCGGACGTCCAGCCGTCTGTAGGGAGTGCGTGTTTCTTCTCTGGGTGAAACCTACGGACACCGTGTTCACGACCGTGTTTTTTGAAGCCTCTGATGCCTTCTTCCTGGTGCTCTGGGGCCTTAGTCCCCTTTCTTCCTGCATTTCCTGTGCAGCAGTCCAGTCTCTAGAGAAGGTGAAGGGGTCCTGGTGCCACCCTTGACAGAGCACCGTGAACACCCCTGGGAGGCTGGGGGCGAAGACTTGGTTTCTTTAACAACAGCTCGCTTGAAGCACGGCTTGTCAGAGGCCGGCCCTTGTGTCCTCGCACTCTTGTTTGGCCAGCGCGCGCCACCTTTGCTGTGATTATGTAACTGCCTTTATTTCAGCGGGACACGTTGTGTTACTGCCACCGACGGAAAGTGACCGAAGGAACGTAAGCAATAAAGAGGTAGCAGTACTGTAATGCTGTAGCAGGCTCTTCTCCTGCCAGAGCACACAAGCCTGCAGGCTGCTCTCTCCCCGCTGGAAAGGGAGGAGCCGTGTGCCTCCAGGAACGTCCCTGCATTCCCCCTCCACCCCGGCGCCCAGGTGCCTCTGGTCCTTTGGGAGACAGTGAATCAGGGCCGTGCTGTCCAGTAGACTAGCCACCAGCCGCGCTGACTACTTGACTTAATTACAATGAAACAGAACGTTCAGTTTCTCGGTGGCACCAGTCACGTTTCCATTGCTCGATGTCTCCATGGGGCCGAGGCTCCCAGACTGGACAGCACAGATCTTGAATGTTCCGTCATTGCAGAAAGCTCTGTTGGACGGTGCTAAATTAGAGAATTACTGGGTCCAGGGTCTAGGATCTGGCTAGCAGGGGTGAAGTTGTCAAGTGAACAAAGCTAGTGTTTGGTCCTCCTCTGCATACGTGTGTGCATACACACAGGTGCACACATGCACACATACGCGTGCACACAGCGCAGCCTTTCCCTCCCCTCCCATGCCATGCCTGCCCTGTTCCAGCTGCCAGAGCCACACTTACCCACTCTCCACCTGGCCTCTTCCTCATTCCTGCTCCCCAGCACGTCAGTTCCCAGTGTTTTCACTGTTAAAAGAGAGCTAATAGTCACAGACGACTCAGTGTGACTTCTTTAAAAAAAAGAAAAAAGTTTGTTTCTTAGGAGAATTATTTTCTGAAATAGTGACTTGTGATCTTGATGTTTTGATCTCTTAAAGATGTGAGACTTATTAAATCACTGGGAGACTGTGGGAATAACATACTGGGGGCTGATACACGTCTTATAATACACTTGAAATGTTCGAGAAGGACCGAGATTTTAAGACTTTTTAAAAATTTGATGACACTACAGATTTAAATTAACTCGTTTGTGAGAGAGAAGGGCCTAGATACTTAGCTATGAGCTTTACCAATCCATCAAAACTCAGTGTTTCTGGTTCAGTTGACACGATGCCATTGTAGGTGTTTCAAACACGCTGGCAAGGCCCTGGGGGATGGCTCGCACTGCGTGTTAGCAGCTCGTTGCTTTGGTGTTTAGTAAGTGCTGGAACAGTGTTTCACATACGTAATGGGATACAGCTAATGTTGATGAGCCATACTCTCTTTGGGTTTCAGGAACACTTGATCAAAATGCAGAAGCAGAAGCTGCAGCTGCCCCAGCAGGCACCGCCGCAGGCCCAGCCGGGGCCCCCGCCACCCACGCCCCAAGTGCAGGCGCAGCCCCCACAGCCCACGCAGCAGCAGAGCCCCCAGCTCACCACAGTCACGGCACCGAGGCCTGGGGCACTGCTCACGGGCACCACCGTGGCCAACCTCCAGGTGGCCCGGCTTGTAAGTCCCCGCTAGTGCATTCGTTTTTCAGAAGCGACGTCGCTTTGGTTTTAATTGGACGGTTAGGTCTCCTCAGGAGTATGTCAGGTGTCATAACTGACTGCACGTGAAGCATAATAGTACCTACCGGTGTTGACAGGCACTCGGTTTACTGGACCTTAGAGGGGGCAGGCAGGGAGCTAGGCCATGAAGAGAGGTAAGATTCGTGTTATGGAGGGTGAGGGCACAGAGCAGCGCCCAGGAGGTGTCATGGGTGGTGGGAGCTGGGCGGGTCCTGACCTTAAAGGGACTGGTGTGGGGGAACAGAGGGCCTGCACAGGGGACTTGCAGGTGTGCCGACCAGGGGTCAGCTCCTGAGGGGTTCAGAGGCACCTGCGTCATGTGGGCAGCGGGAGTCTGTGGCGTTTGAAGTGGTAACCAGGCGAGGGGGTGCTTGGAAGACTGTGCCCAGCAGTACTGGAGCAGGATGTTCTGTGCTAGCCTGTCACGTGGCGCCAGCTCAGGGTGTGTCTGACTCTTGTCCATTGCTGCCTGAGCGCACCACATTTGTCACAGACCCACTGCGGGTGGGTGTCTCAGGTGGAGAAGCCTGTGTCTGCCCAAGCCCCCCGCCGTCAGCTACAGGCAGAGCTGGGCTCTGGGGCTGGCTTGAGCTCCTCATGTGTGAGCTTGAGCCCCGAGCTTCCCTGGCGGGGGCCGGACCCCCACTAAAGTGACCCCACCAGAGCGCCCCCGCTGTGGACATTAGCAGGAAAAGCAGTGGCACCTAGTACTGGGCAGGGAATGGGGGTGTATCGTCTCCAGACAGATCTGTCAGACTGGAAGAGGTTACCGTTTGGGAGGGACTCTTGGTAATTAAGCTATAAAAGCGAGCATACAACTCACCCCAGCAGTCCTGTTTCTAGTGCGTCCTGAAGAGGTGACAGGACAGAGCAGTGAATATACCTGCCCGTTTGCTGCCGGAATGGTAGAACTGTCCATGACAGATACATTATGGAACATCCAGACAGTGGGGTATTAAGCAGCTGTGAGAAGTGATGGTAGTTCTGTATATCTTGACTGTTAGAAGAGAAACAGATAAGCACTTTATAATTTCATTCATTTTTACGTCTTTCACAGCAACCTACACAGGTAAGAACAAGGTCCAGATGGTCAAATACCCATTTTAACATTTGTGTGTGAGTGGTGTTAAGATTGTGCGTGATTATTCCTTTCTTCTCTATATTTTCTTGGGTTATCTGGGTTTTATACATGTGAAAATAGAGCTGTTTTCACTCTAGCTTTTTAACACTGCAGTGTGAGGATCAGAGTGCTTGGTAGCAGTGTGATAACTCAGTGGAGGGAGGTGGCACCCGGAGGCTGACATTCAAGTGGAAGGTTATGGCGGTATCTCGGAGTGGGGAGCGGGCTGATCTGTAAGAGTAGCAGAAGGAATGGGAAATTCCCTAGACAGAATGGCACAGACTGGTGGGAGAAGACTGTGCCCAAGATTAGAATTGTATGGGCTCGTTAAATCTGAACTCTGGCTGATGTGGTTGATGGGCTCCTACGTCTGAATACAGCAGGCGCTCTGTCTTCGTAGGTGGAAGGCGTTAGGAAGAGGGTGGACCTACGAGGACAGCTTTCCCCTCAGTGTGCAGATGACGAAGCCTGCGTTAGCATGACGCCACTTTTCAGCTTTTGTCTGTCTGCCTTGTCTGTGTTCCCTCCCGTGGCCTCTTGGGAGATGTGTGTGACGGCGCGCAGTGTTCTGCCTTTCTCTCGGCTCACCCATCGCTTTCTCTTGCAGACCCGGGTGCCCACTTCTCAGCTGCAAGCCCAGGGGCAGATGCAAGCCCAGACGCCCCCGACGGCACAGGTGGCCCTGGCGAAGCCCCCAGTGGTGTCAGTGCCGGCGGCCGTGGTCTCCTCGCCGGGGGTCACGACTCTGCCCATGAACGTGGCTGGCATCAGTGTGGCCATTGGGCAGCCGCAGAAAGCAGCAGGTGACGGTGGGCGTGCGTCCCGCGCCATGCGCCCTGCATCCTGTACCCTGCGCCCCGCACCATGCACCCTGCATCCTGTGCCCCACACCATGAACCCCGCACCCTGCACCCCGCACCATGAACCCCGCACCCTGTGCCCCACACCGTGCGCCCTGCATCCTGCACCCCGCGCCCCGCACTATGAGCCCCACACCCTGCACCCCGCGTGGTGTGTGGTGGCTGGGCTGCTGCCACTTCCGTGTTTAAGCAGTGCTTCGTAAACCTTTCCGCGAAGCCTGTGTCTGAGACGCGTTTCACGGGTGCATGTTGTAGTTTAGCCCAGATGTCTCTCCAAGATATCCAAGTTCACATTTGCCCCATCAGTTTAACCATTAGTCGTTCCAGATCTGCCAGATCTTTACTTAGATGTCCGAGACGAACCCAGACATTAGCCTCGGTCAGCTGGGGGATGGCTGTATCTGTCTCCACATAGCTGCACCCTGACTCACACGTCTGTGCAGAAAGCAGTCAGCTGCACACCTCAGTCCTCCTGAGTCCTCTTCCCGACAGGGCTGTGACTGATGGCGTCCTTGGTGTTTGCAGGGCAGACTGTGGTGGCCCAGCCCGTCCACGTGCAGCAGCTGCTGAAGCTCAAGCAGCAGGCCGTGCAGCAGCAGAAGGCCATCCAGCCACAGGGCGTGCAGGGCCAGGCCGCCGTCCAGCAGAAGGTGCGTGGCTCTCCTGGGATGCAGGCTGCATGCCACATCTCCATGCCCGCCTGAGTCAGGGGGCTGACCCGGGTCAGGCACGCGCTCCAGAGGAAGTAGTGGTTTGGTGGAGCCCTGGGTCGCACTCAGGGCCGGGAACCCCGTCGTGCATGCTGGGCGCCCCGAGGTTGGGGCCTCGCACGTGGAATTGCCAGTGTGCTGTGTGTGTGTGTTTGCTTATTCCATGTGTGTGTGATATAACAGTGGCCTGGGAGTGAGGCCAGGAGGGAGAGTGGGTAGGAGGCTGGGAGCCCTGCTGCTCTGAGGCCTGTGAGGGTGGCAGAGGGCCTGGGAGTGCCTGACTTGGAAGGGCAGCGGGTTCAGGTTGTAGTGGTGACCTGCCTGGGCTCCTGGTGACGATGGGATGGGCCGGGCACCACTGAGCCTGGTGTCAGGTGAGGGGCTGCTCGTTGAGGAGAGGAGGGATGTGAGGACTGGTGGGAAGGGTTAGGGGTAGAAGAAGCGGCCAACTAGAAGGAAAGTCTGACCTGCAAACCTCCTCCTGTGAATTCTGCTCCCTGAGAGTGACGTCCTCCTGAGGCAGCTGGTGTCGCTGGCATCCTGCCTGGGTTCATACCTGTGGTCTCTCTCCTCAGATAACGGCACAGCAGATCGCCACACAAGGCCAGCAGCAGAAGGTGACCTATGCCACCCAGCCGGCACTGAAGACCCAGTTCCTCACAACGCCCATTTCCCAGGCCCCAAAGCTGGCAGGGACTCAGCAGGTGCAGACCCAGATACAGGTGAGTGGGCATGCCGGCGCAGTCTAGCTAGTGCAGGCCTTCCGTCACACAGCGCACACTCAGGAGCAGTGAGGCCGTGGACACCCTGTAACCTCCTCCTGGGATGCCAGTGATGGGGACCCGAGCGCCCTCCCATCTTCTCTCCTGACCTGTGTGACTCGCCTGCTTTTGCTTGTTGCTAAAGGGGGTGCCCTCAGCAGTGTGTGGTTTTGAGCTTTTCCCGAGTGAAGTCTTGCAGTCCTGCCACGTGTGGTCTCTGGGGCTGCCTCTCCCCTCATGCACTTGTGAGGCTCCTCAGGCGTCTGCACATGTTATTTCACCTGTGGACGATGTTCTCTCTGCTGTTAGTGGCAGTGGGACGTTCCTGGGGTTTCACCTCCTCCCTGTCCCCGGGTGCACTGGTGACAGTGCTGGGCTGTGGGTGGATGGGTGTTCACCGTCTCCACAGTGGTGCTGCTGTGTACTCGCCCATGGGGCTGGAGTTCCCGGAGCCCCAGACCCTCGCCAGCACAGCAGACCGCTTCGCCCTCTCCAACCTGGAGCGTGTGCAAAGGCGTCACATCCTGGCTCCGCCTGTGCTGTTCCGGGTGCCTGTCGGGGCTCTTAGGGGCAGCGCCCAGGCAAATCTGTCCTGATTTGTGTCTACTTGCTGGTGTTAGGCTTCACCGCCTCCCCGTTTGTAGCTCGTCTTTTCTCTTACTTTATGGGCGTCTTGATGCATAGAAGTTCTTAAGGGTGATGTACTGGAGCTTATCAGTCTTGACGTTTCCGAGTCACAGCGCTTCAGCCCTGCCCCCAGGTTGCGCACTGTCGTCCTGCGTCATGTTCTGAAGATGAGTGTTTTCACGTCCGGGTCTGTGGTCCTCCTGCAGTTAACTGTATTGATGACAGAAATGTGGGGGTTCAATGTAACTTTTCCGTCTGGCTACCTGGATTTGTCAGCACTGTTTACTAAGTGTCGCTCTGCCCCCCGATGTGCCATCTGTCATGCACAGCCATGCCGTGGGCCTCCTCCCAGGGCTGTGGTCTCTGCAGCTCGGTGCCAGCGCTGCCCTTCCCCCTTGCATGCAGCCATCCTGGACCTGTTGTCTGACGGGCTGCTCGCACACGGCGTGCGTTCAGGTTTGCTGCTGCTGCTGCTGTTGTCAAGTCCATCCACTCTTTTACCTGAAACACTTGTCCATTTATTCTAAGCACTGATGTATTTGGACTTCAGCTCCCCTTTTGTTTGGGCTGTCCTGCTTGTTATATTTTCTCTTTCCTTCTCTCCTTCCTTGCCTTTTTTGGGCTGTTTCTCTCTTTTTTTTTATTCCTCCCCTTTCCTGGTTTGGAAAGTGCACCATCTCTTTCTGTGCCTTTCTGGTCGCCCTGAAATTCCCAGACGCACACCTCGCTTCTCAGGGAGTCAGGGTCACCACTGTGTTCACCCTCTTCCTGAACAGGGCTTTGTCATTCACAGGGGGTGCCCTTCACCCCTTCCCAGCATAAATGCTGCCGCCGTCCCGCATGGAACCCTGACCTTTCCCATCTGCGAGTTTTCATCTGAGGCCACTTTCATTGTGCTTGACACTCACTCTTTGGAATCACCTTCTGTGTTTGAAAATGCCTCTTTTTCGCTGTGACTCGCGAAAGGTGTTTATGCTTGGCGTTCAACGCTAGACAGACGTTTGTTTCCTCAGCGCACCGGGAAGCTCTGCTCTGTGTGCTGGCTCCCTGTGTTGGTGGTGGAATGTCATGTGTGTCTGACAAGTCTCTGCCTTGGAGGAAATCTGCCTCTTTCCCTCTGTGCCCTTTTAAGACATCTTCTTTGTCTTCCGTGTTGTGCAGTTCCACTGTGATGTAGCCAGCACGGATTTGTCAACTTCTTGAACCTGGACCTGTCTCATCGGTCGTTGCTTGTGTCAGTGCTGCCTCTGCCGCGTGTTCTCTACCGCCAGGCCTCTTAACATCATTTATATTTTCTGTTTCTTTGTCTCTCTCTCTTGCATTCTGCATAACGTCTTTTGTAGCAATAAACTGAAAATAAATCTCACGTTATACGTGATCACAGAGAGGAAGATGGCCATTGTCCCACATTCGAGGTGGAGAAACGCCTCATCTGCCGCTGCCCTTTGCGGCCATTTGTGGACGGCTCTGCGGTGTCTTCGGCTCATTGTTTTTCTGCATAAAGAGTCAAGGGGAAGGGAGAGACCATCCTGTCTTTTCATGTGGACGTTCTTTGGAATGCTACATTTGGATTTCTCTGTTTTGTCGAAGGTTGCAAAACTTCCCCAAGTTGTCCAGCAGCAAACAACTGTGGCCAGCATCCAGCAGGTCGCCCCCGCATCCCAGCAGGTAGGGTCTGGGGACACAGCCACAGAGGGAGCGCTCGCTTCTGGTGCACACAGGCACTTTTTAAAAGTTCCAACTTCGCATTTAATGAGAATTCTTGGTTTTCATCCTCAGAAAGTAGAATTTTAATTAGAGGATCGCTTGCCTTTAATAATACAGAAAAAGTGAACTCTGGGGGGAAGCTTAGTATTCTTAGGATAGTAGGAAAAACCCTGCAGACACACACGTGTTCCAGCTCCTTGTCAGGGTGCTGAAGGAGCCTTCTCTTTCGCTTGCGTCCGGGATCATCTGTTCAGCCAGCCCTCTCGGGCGTGTCCTACCAGCCTAGGGCTCTGCGCTTGGGTTTGGGGGACATGGAAGTGAAGGGAAGTGAAGGACATGCTGTGGGGGGCAGTGATGGCCCCGATAACCAAATGGCGTCTCAGGCTCATAGTGCTCTTGTTCACGGGTACAAGGTGTGGCCATGGATGAGCAAGGCTTTGTTTAGTTCACAGTCACACTGGTTTTAGATTTCAAGAAGCCAAACGTATTAAAAGCTTTATAACGACAACAGAAAAATTAGTCCTTTGATCCTTCTCTTGCTTTTTCCCAGATGCATCACTTTTAGTCAGAAACCAACAACAGCTTATTCTGATTTCCGTTTTGGTTTGCTTGGAAACCAAAGATGACATCCTGGTGTGTCGGTGGTTTTTACCTTTTACAAAAGCATACTTGGCCCTGGAGGATGTTGTGGGGTTGGGGGTCGCTGTGTCTGGGAGTTCTAGATCACATGTCTTCTTCAATACTCTGGTGCAGGCCTCCCCGCAGACAGTGACGCTCACGCAGGCAACTGCAGCTGGCCAGCAGGTCCAGATGATCCCCGCGGTGACCGCCACGGCCCAGGTGGTACAGCAGAAGCTCATACAGCAGCAAGTGGTGACCACAGCATCCACTCAGCTTCAGAGCCCTGGGGTCCCAAACCCAGCCCAGGGGCCGGCCAGCTCCGACAGCCCGAGTCAGCAGCCCAAATTACAGATGCGAGTGCCTGCCGTCAGGTTGAAGACCCCCACCAAGCCTCCGTGCCAGTAAGTGGACGAGTGCGGCCTCCAGGCTCCAGATGCAGCTGAGAGCAGGCCGCCCTGCCGCCTTGCAGAGACCGGCCAGCTGTTCTGAGCCTAGGACAGTGTCACATAAGGTACCCAGCACTGGGACAGCTGTAATCGAGACAGGACCGTGTGATCCTCTATTAAAGTACATCCTACACTCAAGAACATGCCCGTCGAACGCCCCTTTTCTGTATTATGTGACTCATTGAAAAAGTGACAGTGGCGATTTTTAAAAATCCTGTGAACTTTTCATTTTTCCTTCATTCAGAAAGCCATTCAGAGTGTCTGTTCATGTACAGTGTTTGCACGAGACTGTGGCCATGTGGAACGTGCAGCGAGTCGTAAGGCACTTCTGAAAGCTACACCACGGTCTCATGTCTACGTAGTGTGCTCTCACCTGCCCAAAGGACACAGAGCATCTCATTCCAAAGAAAACCACTGGGGTTTTCCTCTTCCCCCTGGAATAGGACTTGCGTTCACTGTTGAAGGGAATGTTTGGGACTGATGCTCATCTCAGCACATTCATGACATGCCCCCAGCTGGGTTCAAGGCCTGTGCTTGAACTTCTATTCCAGAGAGTAGCCAGTGTACCTCCCCCGCCCCTCCCGGTGATGTGTGGTCACTGACAAGGGCCTTTGCAACGGAACCAGCAGGCATGTTCACGCTGCGGTCTGGGTGTGGACTGCTAATGCAGCTCCAGAGCCTCTTACACTTGTGTACCACACAGGTATTGCTGTGCTGCCATGTTACTCTGCCACCTGGGTACTGGACATGGGTGGCATCACCTGGAGAAGGGGGTTTGTCACAGGCTCCCCTTGCTTTCATAGCCCTAGGCCTCATCTGGAAAGCTGAGAAGCCTCTTTTACAAGGCGGCTTATTTACAAATCTGGAAGTATTAACCACAGAGATGGGCTCACTAGACTCTTCTCGGAGGCTGGTAGCAAAACTGAACACACTTAAAAACGAGAACACCAGTATTTCCGGGCGAGTGGCCTGGCTCACCTCAAGTTTGATTGACCAGGGCTCCTGCCTGAACAAGCCTGCGCATCCTGGCTCTGCTAGGAAAGGGGAGAGCCTTCTGTGATAGTTGTGGGAAGGTGTGCCTGGAAGGGAAAGGAAGCCCAGTGTTTGCTGTGTTTTGGTTTGTTTTTTTAAACAAGATAACAAATGCAAGTATAAGTGGCTTTGATTGGCAGGTGATGTCTTCTCACCGGAAGGCTTTTCACTGAAACCAAAAGTGAAGTCCATACAGTGACACCCTCTCGCGTGGCCAGGCTGTTGATTGTTGCACGTTATTTGGTCCGGGAAATTAGGTTCGGTTTTTGTCTGCTAAGAATCAGTTTTGGCATCCTTTAAGGTTTATGATTTGTATTCCAAGATGTGTGCCCTCCCCGTTCTGTCACTTCTAGTGACATGGAGGCAGATGTCTGTCCTCCACCTTTTTACCCGTCAGTCGGCACATGTCTGTGGACAGCAGCATGCCAACATCCAGTGACCTCTTGATGAAAAATCAGGAAAAAAGTAAAAATCAAGTGTTGGAAAAAAAGGAAAGATGTAACATTTTAGGTAATTGAAAGTATCAAAGCAGAGTGAAGTAGTACAGTCCTTTTCCTCACAGTAAAGCCTGTCTGTCCTGGCCCAGTGGTGGGGCCGCGGGCACTTCGTGCGTGTGGTTACGGGGCCCAGGTCTGCTGGCTTCACCCCCACACGCAGAGGGAAGCTCACAGCGACCCTCACTGTCAGCCTGCTTTCACTCACGCCCCGTCCATTTCTTTGTCCTGCACGTAGGTTGGTGGTCTTTTCTAGACAATAGGATCATTGTGGGCGCACTTATTTTAGAATGTACTGGACATATCTGCCTAAATAAAAGTATTCTGTTGATGTAGGACGCTGAGAATTTAGAAGCGTCTCTAAAAAGCTTTCTAAACAGAACAGAGCTGGGATTCTGAATATGCAGTGTGGAATTCCTGCCCCTTTCTTATTAAGTGTGAACAAAAGACTGTCATGTCTGAAATGTGTTTTCTGCAGCAATTTCCCAATGGAAAATATGGAACAGAAAATATTTGTACTTATGTCATTTGATTTATTAACACTTAGATGTTACCACTGACCTGAGTAGTATTCAATATAGTAAAAAATTGCAGTATATCGTTTCCTCAGCCTTATGTTTTAAAGGTTAAACTTTTCCATGTTTAAAAATTAAATGTAAGTTTAGGAAGTTCTTGTCCCAGGCCCTCTTGGGTTATCATTGCTAGCAGAATTCTGCACTACTTGCTCATCAGGATTCATCAAATACGACATGTAATGATTCAGAGAAACAGCGCATAAAACAAACACAGCAGCCAAAACCACTGTCAGTCTCTGCTTTAATTGGCCTCCATGGAAGACAGCTGACCCATTGATTGTTCAGTCAAAAGAGAGACATTTAATTAGGCCAGTCTGTTTGAAAATGGTCTGTGGGAAGCAGGTGGTTGTATCCACCATGCGTTCTGGTTTGTGGCCTGGCCGGCAGAGGTTTTCCTTTCTGCAGCCTTTTTTTTTTTGTTGCTAACTCCTGTAGCCAGATAGCTGTTGTTTTAAAATATAAATGAACAAGATGGAAATTGTAAATACTTTGTAAACATCATCATTTGTACTTGAATAGTAGGATTTTACAGGGCACTGGCATCCTACCAAAAAGGTATAATAAACGACCTTTTATATACTTCCTCGTTCTGTCTTTCTTAGAAAGCTAGCACTTAAGGTAAAGTAAGATGCTAGATGTATTCATTTTCCTGAAGAAGAAGGTGAAGACTCCTCAGACAGGTAATGCGGAGGGGAGGTTTTCTCCTGCCTTTCCCACCAGCAGCTGTAGAAGGAGCCAGAGCGAGCAGGTTTTCCAGCAGGAGGGCCGCGCACGGGTACCGCCGAGCCCCCCAGGAGGGCGGGCAAGAGAAGAGAGCCGGCAGGTGCCTTCACGCTCCGCCCGGCGTCCGTGTGGAGGTGGCGGGGCACCCTAACTCTGGCACACACTCTCCAGGCTTGGAACTAGCTGACCTGGCAGGCGTTCCTTCTCGTTTCTTCTGCACCTCTTTCTGGTTTTAAGTCTCTGATTACAAAAGGATGCGTGTCTTTATAAACAAGGCAGACATTATAAAAGTAGTCCCCTTTCTCCGCCAGTCCCGAGAAAACCATGGTTAACTTCGGCGCCTTTCCTTCCCCCGAGATGAGCGGCGGCTCTGGGCCTTGCCCGCAGCCCTCCCGGCCAGGCCCGGCACCCGGCACGCGGAGGGCTCCTGGTCCACTGCGGTCCGCCGAACCGGCCCGTGACTTCCTCGCTTGGTGCCTGTCTCCCCATCCGTGCCCTCGGCGTGGGGGAGCGTGCGGCCAGGTGACCCCTGGGGAGCACTCCCCCCGCACCTGCTCCCGGGAGCCTGGCCGCCGTCAGCATCTTCTCCTGCGGCCCCCGTCCCCCCGTCCCGGCCCTGCACCCACAAGTCTGCGCCGACCGCCCGGGTGGCTGCGGCTTCAGGTGACGCGACTGCTGGGAGCGGCCGTCCGTCCGACGACAGGGCTGGCGCCTCCGCCAGCAGGGACGCTGGGCCACCTCCGCGCCCGCCCACGGGATCAAAGCTCAGCTCAGAGCACCCACCCCTGTGGGCGACTTCCGGCCCCCCGCTGACAGAACCCCGACCTGACCCCGGCGGGGAGGTGTCGCGGAGGCGTCGCTCCGGCGGCTCTGGAAGACTGGCAGGCCGACGAAGGTCCGGGCGGTGGGCCGCTCGGCCGGCACCGCACGAGGATGCCCCCCTCCCGGCCGCGCTGCCGTGCTCCTCATGGCCCACGTGCCGCTGTCGCGGGGACGACCAGCCGGGCAGTGCGCGCGGCCCACTGGCGACCCGTCCGTCCTCCCGCGCCTCCTCGCTCTCCGGCCTGCCACGCGCACCCCGCTCCGATTGGCCCGCGCCGCTCCTGCGCAAAGGCTCGCGCCTGCGCTGAGGGGCCGGCCGGGCGGCGCGAGCTTCATTTAGTCTGTGGGGAGCCGCTTCCCGGACTGCTGCGTGCTCGCTCCGGCTCCGAGCCCGCGGGCGGAGGGCGTGGAACAGTCGCCCGGCCCGCCGCGGTGAATGACTGGCGCCGCTTCTCCCCTCCGGTCCCGTCCTCAGCGCTGATGGGCGGGCGACCCCGACCCCCGGCCGCCCGTTTGCCCCGTTGCCCCCTCGCCGCTCGCCCTCGTCGGCCCCTGTCGCCCCTCGCCCGGTGTGGCGGCCCCGCTCCGCCGACCGCCCTCCCCGGCCCGCGTTCTCCGAGGTGCTGACGGCCGCCCGGGGCCCGCGCTGCACCTGTCGGTGGCGTCCCCCCACCCCGCCGCGGCGGATCGGCGCCCCCTGCGGGGAAAGGCGCCCGTGGTGCTCCTGCCTCACAGGTGGGCTTCACGCAGACCCTGCACGGGACGCTGAGAGCGAATCCCTCGCTTTCCGGGAGACTCAGGCGAGCTGGTGACCCTCGGGGGCTGGGGGGAGGCCCGAGGAGCCGGCTGCCTATGGTCTGGGATGATGGAAGCTCTGCTGGCCGGGCGTGGCCGGCCTCTTACTCCGTGTAATGTGTTGCCCAGCTGTTCTCATTCTGTAAGCGCGTTGGATGCTTTAAACGTTTGTGACTGGAGATGCCCCAGCCCTACAAATGCCAGTTACAAGCATGAAGAAGAATTGACACCATTTAGAAAAATAAGTTGTTGTTGTTAATTGCCATCCGGTGGATTCCGACTCGTGGTGACCCCATGCGTGTCAGAATAGAGCTGTACTCCATAAGGTTTTCGATGGCTGGCTTTTCGGAAGTAGATTGCCAGATCTTTCTTTTGAGGCGCCTCTGGGTGTGTTCCAGCGGTCATCTTTTCAGCTAGTAGCTGAACGCTTAACCATTTGTGCCTCACAGGGACTCCTAGAAAAATAAGAATTCCTGTTTTCCCTTTCTGTTTTCTTTAGTCCCAAATAGCTTCCTCTCCCCCCACCCCCCCTTTTTTTCCCAAGTTAGTAATATGTCTTCAGCATCTGCTCAGGTCAGGAGATCGGTAGACTGATTCTTTTTGTACCTGCCTAATAGTCCATAGTGAGGATATAGCATATTTAGCCTTCCCCATTGACGGACCTTCGTTTTGTTTCCAGTTTTTTGCCCCTACAAATTATATTGAGATAAGTGTTTTTTATGCATAGGTTCTGGTACTTTTATTTTTAAAGGCTGAATTTCCCTTTATGGGAACTAAATGGGGTCAATGGGTCAAAGGATATGCATATTTAACTTTTTACTTTTCATAGATATTGCCAGATTATTTCCCAGAAGGTTACACTTCCG